AAACCCAACCCTCAGCCTCTGGTGCCCCTAACCTTCAGAGCTAAGCAGATCCCCCGCACCCCCCAGACCGGGTCTTCACCCACCGTTCTCAGTCCCCAGGCAAGCTATGCGTCCTCCCAAATCCAGTCTTTTTTTCCCTTTTCTTTTTCGACCACCTCAAATGGCTTTGCCCACATCTGGGAAATCCTTGAAGACTCAATTCTGATCCTCATTTAGCACATTCTTCTACACATTTCTCCAGCACGGGTGACCTCCCCTCCCATCCCAATCGCGTGACCCCGGAAACAGTCCGATTGCAACAGTACTGATTACTGATGGCAGTACCAATGACCAAGATAGGAGTCGTGACGACTGCTGTTTGTCTTTGGAGATCAGTCTTGGGCATTGGTAGTCTCCGAGTGGGGAGGAGGGTGGGCGTCTAATGTACTGGGATTCACGGATGCAGCTTCTGTTAGCTCAGCCTCACATAACCCTGCAAGGTGAGCATAATACCCCACTTGACAAGTAAGAAAACTGAGGCTTGGGAAGATTAAACAGCTTTCCCAGTAGCTATCAAAACTCCTCCAGAGTCAGGATCTTAACCCAGGTCTATCTCTCCTTTATTAATTCATGCATGACGCAACCTATACCGGGTCTTAGGCACTGGGATTCAGGTGGACTGAGACACAAAGAGCCCCTGCCCTCATGAGACCTAGGGCTGCCTCAGTGCATACATCCGACAGCACCAGGAAGGTGCGGTAAGCAGAATCAAGCCTCCTACCCCCACAGATGGCTACATGTTAGTCTCTGGACTCTGTGTTTCCTTACAGGACAGAAGGGATTTTGCAGATGTGAATAAGTTAAAGATTTTGAGATGGGGAGGTTATCCTGGATTATCTGGGCGAGTCCAGGGTCATCATGAGGATCCCTGTACGTGAAAGAGGAGGGTCAGAGTTAGAGAAGGAGATTGGAAGATGCTGTGCTTAAGGCTTAAAGGCGGAGGGAGGGGCCCTGAGCCCAGGAATGCAGGCTGCCTCCAGAAACTGTAAAAGGCAAGGAAACAGACTGTCCTCCGGAGCCTCCAGAGGGAGCACGGCCTTGCTGACAATCTGAGTTTAGTCCAGTGAGACCTTTCCAGAATTATGAGCGCCAGGAATCTAAGACAATACACGTGTGTTGTTTTAAGCCACTAAGTTTACGGTCGTTTATTGTAGCAGCAACAAAAGAATTATACAGTGGGCCTCAACCAAGGCTGCCCTCCAACGAGACGTCGAGGGTGAGACCTAAAACGTGAGCAGGAGCTGGACAGGACATGGGGGTAGAGGAGGAAGACTGGCAGAGGCACAGCTGGGAGCACGAGCCCGCAAGGGGCACTGAGCTGAAAATCGTCAGCGGTGAGCCAATGGAGAACCAAGTCACAGCGGTCTTTGGAGGCATGCCAAGAAACGTGGATCCCGTCCTAAGCCAAAACACAGCCCTGGGGGTGGGAGGGGAAGGTGTGTGTGTGTGTGGGGGGGTAAGACAACCAGATTTGTGTTTGTGAGGTGGTGGTTTGTAGGCAGTGAGTGGACACAGGCCTGCTGTCGGGAAGCTGCTGCAAGGGATAGTCCCCAAACTGTGTGCCCCTTTTACTAGGCCAGACTGCCCACTTAACCTACTTTCTTGTATTAATTTTACTGAGACACACAGACACAGACACAGACACACACACACAGACACACACACACACACACACACACACACACACACTCCCCTGACCAGACTGGAAACTTACTAAGTGATGGACTTACTCATCTTTGTGTTCCCCACTATATCGAACACTGTGCCTTGCAAATTATGGGCTGAGAAAACGCTTTGCAGCACTGAGCTCTTACGTATGGACGTCTAAATTTGCCTGCCGCCTAGAAGACACCCGGCATCAGGTGCTCCTCTTATGTGCACAGGCTCAGAACTAGATTAATTACTCACCTATTTGTCACAACACCACAAAGCTCGAGGAACTGTCCACAAGAGCTGAGCTTGCACGGAAGTGAATAAGTACAAAACTCAGTTTTGTTTGGTAAAAAACTCAGAGCAATCCTACAAGTGGTGTATTTCAAATGCCAGAAAGAAAAGAAATAAAATAACCTTAAATCAACTGGCTGAAAATTTATTTTGACAAAGGAGAAATGAGGATGCTCCGGGTAAACACAGAGAATCATTCTGCACCTTCCAATGTGAGCACCCAGGAGGCCTGCTTCTTTACCAACCCAACAACCCACCCAATCATACCAACGCAACTAGACAATACGACAGGGTCTCCGATTCACTGGAAAAAAGGTACAAGAACAGGTAATCTGGCTTGAAGTATGGTATCAAGTCTCAAATCCAGAGGAACCGTCCGTGTCTGAACATTACAGAATTTCAGATGAGTGGCTGTATTATGGCAGAATTTCCAAATCACGTTACCTCTAAATCACCCTTAATACATTTCTAAATCTGAAGGTTGGAAACCAAGTCTATTTCATCACAAAGCTGAGGATGTGCCCCACCTAAAGGAAACATGGCACCGAGGAGGAGGAAACAACCCCCGGGGTGTCCCCGGCCTCAAGAGTTCTGGAAAGAAAGTAGCTTGCAATCCGAATCATACGGTTCTGCTAGCTTGGGGGGGGGGCGGGGAGTGTTCACACCTTACATCTATGTTCACTGCCTTCAGGTCCTCATTCTGTGCGACCTGTAGAGCACTGCATCCCTTCGCTAGTTTCCAATAAAGCAACCGTACAGAGACGGGAAGACAACCTAAGTGGATTCTCCTATGACTGGCCTCAACTGCAGTTTCTCTCTCACAAGCAGCTCATCCTAGATCAGGGGAACAAGACTCTGGATGTTAAAATTTTGTAGTCTTGACATTTTACATGTGACTTAAATTTATTCCTGGGCACAAATGTGTTAATTATTATTCAGTTGTTGTTCAAAGCCGCTAGAGTCTGTAAGTAATGAATGAATACGATGTTCTGCACCTACAGGAGACAGTGCTCCCAGTCGGCAAATGCGTGATTGCTGTCTCGAAGCAGAAACATTTTTACAACACAGATCGCATTAAATGTAATACCTAATGAAGGCTTATTTTCATTACTTCTGGATGCACTGCTTGGAATTCGGTTTTTTTTTTAACTGTGAGAATGAAAAACAAATAAAATCTCTGTATCATTCCGCTTAATAGAAGTTATTGGTCATTTTCCTTTACACACCTGTTTGTAAGTGGGAGGAAACAAAGCATTAATGCCCAACGTTCCAGGCCTTGAAAACAGGGCTGGTGTTCTCATGATCAGATAAAGAAGAAATATCCATAATAATTAAATTTTGAAAGAACACTGTCAACCTTTTCTGTTGCCCAGGCACAGGACTCTCTCTCTGCCGTTCATTTAGTAGAGCCAGCCTTGACGTCGGCCGCTCGGACAAGGAACGCAGCCTCGTTCCTACGTCATTACCTCTAGCTTGTCTGGTGCTGTTAGCAGGACGGTGGCCACCAAGGATCCCGCAGAAGCGCCTGCAAAGGCCCTGACATCCTTCAGGAGCTTTCTGCCGTGTCTACAGAGTGCAGATGCTGCCCCCAAGTGGTACATGCCCAGAAACCCGCAGGCCGCAAACGACACGTTGATGGGCCGCATTCCGGCTGCGGAACTGAACGACGCTGAGAACAAAAAACGCGCTGAGTTGGTAGAGTTTATGGCACATGCAGTGCTGCCTCGTGCCTCGTGGTAACAAGGCTTTGTTTTAATATAGAATTCTCCGTGCTCAACACAGTATCGTCAGTGGAAGTCTCATTAAATACCCAAATGTTTCAAGGAAACTTTTTTTTTTTTTAACTCTCTCACCTCGGCCCAGTAGAATTGAATGAATTTTAAAAAAGTTAAATTTCGTATGTATTCATCCCACAGATACTGCAATCTACTATTTGGTCACCCGGCAAGGAACAGATCAATAAATTACAATTGGCAAGGCATCTGGTCTTTTTTACACTTTTTGGAGGACGGCTACTTTCGCGGAAGGTAAAATCGCTAGAAGCTAGCACATTCCAAATAAAGGACACGCGTGCTCTTTGCAAGTGCATCACTGCATTTCTAGGGAAGTCCCTGCCTCCTTTGCCCCACACTTGGCATCGCAAGCATCCATATCTATGTTAAAAAAAAAAAAAACCCAAAACACAAAAAAAAAAAAAAAAAAAAAAGGATGCCCACAATGACTGCACTATTCCACGAGGCATTATTCAACCAGGCACCCCTGACTGCTCGTGCTGCTCGATTTTACGGCAGAACGGTGTCTCCGAAGCCCCCGTGGGGCCCGCGGTGAACACGCGGGTGACATCGCGCGGCCAGAGCGCGGCTCCCCTGCGGGCCCCCCCGGGGGGCGGGGCGGGGCGGGGCTCCTCCCCCTCCCCCACGCCCCTCCCCCTCCCCTCCCCCACTCCCCCCCCCCCTCCCCCCCCACTCCTGCGCGTTCAGACGATGCACAGCGCCCGGGCCTCGAGCTGAGGGGCCTGAGACCTTCGTGGTGTCCGCGAGGAGGCTCGGCCGGCCCCGGTTACGGTGGACCTTCTGCGGACCGAAGGGCGGTGGGGACGCGCAGAGCCAGCATCGGCCTGGGGGGCCTGGGGGGCCTCGGGGGCGGCGGGCCTGCGGGCGGCGGGGCGGGGGTCGCCGCCGGAGCAGCCCCGGGTGCGTCGGCGGGCGGCTCCGACCCGCGCAGCCCTGGGAGCGGCCTCTACGGACCAGAGCCCGCCCGGCGCCCCGCCCGGCGCCCCGCCCTAGCAGCGCAGGTCTGAGGCACTGCCATGTTGAACGGCCCCTTTAACCGGAAGGCGGGGCCGGGCCGTCACTCCACGAGGCCCCGCCCACCAGGGCGAGCCGACGCTCGCGGAGGGCCTGCCCCGGAAGATCTCGCGAAAGGGGCCGGGACGGGCGTACCCGCGCGGGGCTGCCACGTCATCACGGCGACGCAGGCCTCCGCTAGGCCCCGCCCGCCCTATTTAAACCACGGGACTCAACATGGCGGCGCACAGGCGGACGCTTGAGCCGGCTGTCCCGGGCGCGGGTAAGGGACAAGACTTTCGTCTCGAGGCCTGCCGTCTTTCACCCGTAGCCATGCGCTTTAGTCCGTCCGCGCGTTTTAGCGCCACCTGCGGGCCGGCCTCTCCCTTGCGAGTTTGCTGACCCTGAACGACCGTCCTTCGCTGTGCACCGGAAGCGCTTGTCCCCGCTGGCGTCTGTCTCCGGAAGTGGTTCCCCCCCCACCGTAGGGGCGGTCCAGCTGGCCCCGAGGGCGGGGCCCACGTGCTAGGGTGTGGCCAGACCCCCTAGGAGCGTCCTCTGCGCCTCGGTAACGCTTTTTCCCTAAGGGCGTAGGAAACCTCCGGCCTGTCCGTGTGGGCGGCGTCCGCCTGCGCCGGCCCCGTAGGCTGTGTGACCTTGCGCAGCTTGCCTAACCTCTCTGAGCCGCTCAGCTGGCTTCTCCGCAAAGCGCGATGGTAACGTCCCGAGTCGGTGCCCGCGCTCGTGAGGCCCGAGCTCCGTGCGCCGGGAGCAGACGGCCCCTGCTCCGTTTGGCGGCACAGCCCGTGGCGCTGTCCCCCCGGTAGAGCGCAGCGAGCGCAAGGGCAGGTGCACGTCGAGGCGGTAAGGAAGCGCACGGCCTGCCGCTGGCCCCTGCACCTGCCGCGGAGCGGGCTGCGGTGCTCGCGCGGCAGCGTCCTCCGGGACGCTTCCCGTAGACGGGATGCGAGCTCGCCTGGCACGTCTCCGCGGGCGGCACCTGCGCTTCAGCGGCTGTGCCCCGGGGACCCCAGGACGCCCGGGCGCCGAAGGCAGCTGGTTCGAACGTTCGGCTCCGTAAGGGGAGGAAGAGACCGCGCCCCTCCTCGCTCTCGTGAATATACACTAGTCTAACTGCCCTGTAGGGACGTTTGTGGGTTCTGTTCTTTTCTTTTCTTTTTTCTTTTTTCTTTTCT